AAAAAAAAAAAAAAAAAACTAGAGAGAACCTAAGGAGGGCAAAAGCTGATTCTGTGGGTTTTAGATAGTGAGATGACTACTGAGGAGGCTAAAGTCGGTGACCAGGAGCAAATGAAGTTAAAGCACTGTCATATACGACACCTAGGTTGTAGTGATTCTCATCTGTAGCTGGTTTGAAAACACAGAGGAAAGTCAATGACCTCATGCTGAGGAACTATGAGATCAGAGTGTTCCAAAAGCGTTAGAGACACTGAGAATGACAGCAAGAAAGACAGGAGACAAAAATATGTATGATGCAATTGTCTAAGTCCTTGTGAGCAGTAGATGAGGGCATTTAAGTTTTAGAGAAACTGCTATAACTGTGCGGCAATACCTTCCATGAAGATCAGAATAATAGTGGTAGATCAATGATCTGGAAGTAGCGAGGAAAACAAAAAAGCAGTTTATTCCTCCTCTTCCACATGGTCACAGGGAACAGACAATATCTCTTTGTGGCAGGGTAAGATGAGATACCTGGATTTTCATTAAGTTGGGATAAAGAACAGTTAAGAGTAAATGGAAGTGTACTAGATGATATGTAGTATTATTTATTTATTTAGAGACAGAGTCTCACTTTATCACCCTTGGTAGAGTGCTGTGGCATCACAGCAACCTCCAACTCCTGGGCTTAGGTGATTCTCTTGCTTCAGCATCACGAATAGCTGGAATACAGGTGCCCACCATAACGCCCGGCTATTTTTTTGTTGCAATTCGGCCAGGGCTGGGTTTGAACCTGCCACCCTCGGTATATGGGGCTGGCTCCCTACCCATTGAGCCACATGCACTGCCTGATATGTAGTATTTTTAAAGTACAAATTAAAAGGTGATAGTTAAATCCTCATTCTTATAGCACTGAGTTTAAAAAAAAGTGATAAGCCAGGCACAGTGGCTCATGCCTATAATCCTAGTACTTGAGAGGCCGAGGTGGGTGGATTGCCTGAGCTCACCGGTTTGAGACCAGACTGAGCAAGAGCGAGACCCCATCTCTAAAAATAGCTGGGTGTGGTGGTGGGTGCCTGTAGTCCCAGCTACTTGGGAGGCTGAGGCAAGAAAATCACCTAAGCCCAAGAGTTGGAGGTTGCTGTGAGCTATGATGTGACAACACTCTAAAGAGGGTGACAAAGTGAGACTCTGTCTCAAAAAAAAAAAGTGATAAAGAAAGACCTACTAGGTAAAAGACAGAAGGAAAGATGTACCACTTTGAAATGTGAGGTTGGAGAAAAGTAACAGAGACCTATTTGTCATTAGGTATCATAAGTTAGGCAGCAATGTAAGGAACAGTAGTAGAGCAAGAAGCACAAGGGCACATTTTATAACTTTTTTTTTGGCCAGGGCTGGGCTTGAACCCACCCCCTCCGGCATATGGGGTCAGCGCCCTACTCCTTTGCCCCGACAAAGGGCACATTTTTAAACAGACCCCAGCAGTGTACCAAGGCAAATGCACTATGGTGCTTCTATGGAAGGCTACTCATATGCAATAAGGGCTACAGATGCACAAACACCTTGCACTTACACAGCGTTTTACAAATTGTTTTCACATATGTTACCTTACTTGATCATCATTAGGTAAATATTATTACATTTTTCCAAAAGTGAGGCAATTAGGAATGAAGGAGCAACTCAGTCTCCAACATATACACTTCACATACACAGCAGACACTTGACCATCTCAGACAGCCAGGCTGGAAATTCTTCTCTAGCCACAAGAAATAGAGGGTTCAACTTATCAAGGACTTGAAAGAAAAGCCACTAGACACCTTCCTGTTTGCCTTCTTCCCCCTGAGACCCCTAAATCCCTATCACCGTAGTCGGATAAGGTAGAGAGGGTAGGGCCATCAAGAAGAAAACTCAAGCTGAAAGTTATATTAAGTCCCTCTTCCCGTCACACTTCTGGACCTCACTGACCCAACAAATGAAAATGAAAGAGAAAGTGTAAAAAGTAGTATGAGGAGGTCTTCAGCAAACACAGCTTCCAGAAAAAGAATGAAAACCGGGCTAGGGTAGGGCAGAAACCAGGTATAGCTAAGAGATGGGGGAGGGGAGGAGGGCAGGAATTGGAGGGAACCGAAAGTGTTGGGAGCCCCCAAGGTTGAAAAATCCAAAAGAGATATGGGTGCTCCAACCGCTGCAGAAAACTTAAAGGGCCCGTGAGGGTCCAGGAGCTGGGACCAGTATTGAAGTACCCCAGGGTTTGGGTGACCGGAAGGAGAGACCCCCAAACACGAGACCAGAAGGGGGCGCAGGAGACACCCCGTGGGAGAGAATGAATGAGGAAGGCGGTCCGGGGGGCGGGGCAAAGGAGGGGCCCCGGGATGGGCGGGGCACAGACCCCTTTCCAAGTCCGAACCCCTGCCCCGAGAGCCCAGGGAGAAGCGAATCCGCGCCTCTCGCACTCACCGCCGGTCTCGTCAGTTACATAGGGAGTCGCCATCTTGAAAACGCAAACCACTTCCGGCGTGAGCGGGCTGGGGTCCCGCCCCCTCCCCACCGGAAGTGGAGTCCCAATCGTAGCAAGCCACCATTTTAGTCTTAAAGGGAGAGCGTACCATTTCATGGGCCGAGATGGAGAGGGAGGAAAGGGGGAAAAGCTGAAGCAGTTACTAAAATAAAGTCATGGGCTCTTTTACTGACACTGATACCACTATTGAGCGCCTGCTGCGTGTAAAACAGCCCTTGGGGTACCGAGAAAAGTTCCGAGGCACAATTCCTTTTAACCAAGGCATTCGTTACGTCCAGGACCTGCGCGGGAAAAGGGCGCAAGGCCCAGCTGCAACCAAGAAAGGGGGCTGACAAATGAAGAAAGGGAGAATATTCAGGCCCTGGCCTGCACCCAGTTCTCAGAGCGCCTTGGTGACACGGAGCAGGCAAATTCCAGGAACAGACTAGGACGCACGAAATGTTGCTGGGGGGCGAATAGGAGGCCTCAACTAACCCTCTCTAAGAAGGCGGGGAGGTCGAATTCGCATGCCGATTGCCCTCGGCCGCCAACTCAACTCTCCGGACAGAGACCCGCGACAGGGGAGTGCATGGCGAAGGGTGCTGTGGGTCGGTCACCTGTCCCCGCAGCCTCAGGGTTGCCGGCAGCTTCCATGGCCGAAGAAGCGGCGGGCCGGATTGGGCGGACGGCCCTGGCCTGGCTCTGCCCCTGGGCGGCGCCGGGAATTCGGCGGCGAAGTGACGAGGGTGGCCCCTGCCTCCTACCCAGGGAGCCTCCACGGGTTAGGCGCTAGGGTCAGAGGGCAGGGTGAAGGCTTCTGGGCGGACCTACTTAGTATTCTAATTAACCTCGTCCAACCACTGGGGATCTAAAACGGGGCAGCTCGCCAATAATCCGGGCTTGTGTGGTCACTCCCTTTGTAGGCCTGCCCTGCCCCGCGCCTCCCTATTCTTAAGACAAACTCAAATGGCTCCCCCTCTCCCCGCCCCTACTCCTTTCAGAAACTGTTCCTTCTGGGCTAAGTCCTGTTAAACTTGTTTCCCTTACATCCTGGGTGAGGCTGGTTGTAGGTTCCTCTGCTCAGGTGTCATCTCTGCCCTCCTCCGTATTTCACTACCCAGCCCTAGCCCTCCCCCCCGCTCCCCACTACGCTTAGTTTCATGTCCAACAATACCCCTGGAACCAAGAAGGAGGTATTAACGTCCAACACTAGGCATGCCCCCATTTAAAACAAACAAACAAAAAGACTTAGAGCAATGGCTGACTAGGACCTTTATAAAACAAACTAGGCTCTGAAGTTTTGTGGGATCCGCAGCTAGCCTTCTATCCCATTCTCCATCTCCTTGACTTTCACCAGAGGCCCAAAAGAGGTGATCTCAAAAACAAACCAAAAAAAAGCCTCAATTAAAAACGATTTGTAGAGCAAAGCCTATGGCTCAAGGAGTAGGGCGCTGGCTCCATATACTGGAGGTGGTGGGTTCAAACCCAGCCCTGGCCAAAAACTAAAAAAAAAATAAAAACTATTTGTATACAATACACAATTCTTGTAAGTTTTCTAACACTGCCATCCTAACCCCTGCTTTTTCACGAATTGTGCTCTTGTCCTTAGCCTTGTTAGTAATGATTAGAAATGAGAGCATGAGATACTTTGGTCTTGACTGAACTACCTGAGGAGTAGTTTCTGCGGGGCTAATCAACAGACTTTTCTGCAAGGGGGATCCTAAAGTGGCACCTGTTCACTACCCAACCCTAGCCCTCCCCCCCACGCCCCCATACATCCTGCCCCAGCTCTGGGTTTGACAGGAAGTGAAACTCAATTGTCTACTTAATAGAACAGTCTGGGCCCCAGCTCTGGGCCCCGGATGTGGCCCCCCACCCAGAGGAGGAAGAGAGGAGAGAAGAGGCTGGGGAGAACAGACAGTTGTTTTTTCCTTTCTCTTTGTTCATTGTGGTTTCTTTCTTTCTGATTTTTATGATGTGGTTGATCAAAGAAATGAGCACCTGGAACTGTAGGCATTAGACGGCTCCACCTTAAATGTTTCTTAACCTTTCTTCCCTCTCCCCCACCAATAAATGACGTGAGTGTGATGGAGCACCGATCCTAAAGAATACTCAAAGAAGCCTAGAGTAAGACTGATTCCACCTTATTCCTTGTTAGAAACATAACCTCGGGCTCGGCTCCTATAGCTCAACCCGCTGAGGCGCCAGCCACGTACACCTAAGGTGGCGGGTTCGAATCCCCAGCCCGGGCCTGCCAAACAACAATGATGGCTGCAAC